CATAATTTATATGTATATATATACATACGTACATGCATACATAATGTATATACATAGTATATATTTATAATATATATACTTAATATATATTATATATTCAACATATAATATATATACATTATATATACACACATAATTTATATACATTTATACATATACACATAATATATATTTAATATATAATATGTAATCTATTTAATATGTAATATATGTGCATATTATATATACACAATATATACACATTATATATAATATATAAATAAATACATATATAATATATATTATATATAATATATTAAAGCAAAGACCAGAAGGATTTTAATAACCGTCTTCTATTGAGGCAGACAGTAATGAGAATAAACCCTGCCCTAAACACTAGACCACATGATTCAGGAAGTTCAAAAGGGACAAATAAACTAATATCATACCACATAGCTCCCTATCATATAGAACCTCCTTCTCACAGTAACATGGTGAAAATACTAGGACTTCAGTATCACAAATGCTGCCATTGACACTAACTAATTAGTCCCCAGTTGACCTTCTCAAAAATCCAGGGAGATAAAGCAAGGTACACACTATTACACCGATTTTACATCCAAGGAAACTGAAGGCACAAACACCTGCTGTCTGTTCCAGCGAGTGACAGATCTACAGGACAAGTAGAGCCAAGAGTCTCCTGACCTCCCATCCACTGCTCTTTCAACCACCATGCTGTTTATTCCCCAGAGTACAGTAAAATCCAAGCACCAGAAGGGACAGGGGAAGCCACACTTTCTCAATCTGATGGGCCTTTAGAAACAGAAATTGAACTGAGGGAACCCCCATCATTAAATTCAGCTGTACCCACACCCACATCCTTTGGTCTCTCTTCTCAATTTCAGCTCAGATGCTTCTATCTTTTCTTTCTTTTTCTAGAGACACATTTGGAGATGAAACCATTTATAACTGCCCATCCACAGACAGTTTGTGGCAGCATAATTGACAATGAGTCTGCTGCAAAAAAATAAAAATGCTGTTTTAATAACCTTGGCCTAAAATACATTCTGTTGTATGCCTCAAAGGGTTTCAATAAAAAGTCAACCTGTAGAGACATATTTTCTTGGCTTAAACAACAATCCAAAGCATATAAATGTAGTCCAACTATAATGACATATTTATAGGCCAATAAAGCTTACTCTGCAGCTTTCATACTTCACTTAAAGGAACTCTGTAAGAAGCAGTGTTATATAAAATAATTTGATTTTTTTCAAACTATAGCCCAAGGAATAAAAAATGCAAGTTTGCTTTGTTTAACTGATAGTGTTTATATTCCTTAGTTGCTAAAAATTTCGTAAAATGAAATAATTCTTCATTTGACTACTTCCAACTGCCATACCAAATATGGGTATCAAGTCCACTTTATTACAAAAGCTAAGTACTGTAATTCTAAAGACAAAAATAAATAACTAGAAGCTTGTGTAGTGAATGATTTAATCAACCCAATTCTTCTGGAAAAACAGGTTCCTGTGTTCGTTATGCTTATGAATAATACATTCCTTAACCCTTCTATTTTAACACAGTTCTTTCTTCTTTTTTTTCTTTTTCTATAAACTTCAGTATGAAACTGACAGAAGGTAAAACATCTCACTGAGTAAAGTCATAATTTGAATTGGTTTCATACTGAACTTTCTTTCTTTGAAAAGGACAAAGAGGAGGGAAGGGGACGAAGGCGCTGCAACACATCTCAGGAGTGTTTTTGAAGATTGTTGTCTTTCCCACTACCTAGATGTGTCATGTTATCACCAGCCATTTAGAATCTTAAACGAAAAATGCAGAGATTTTGTAAAAAGCAAACATGATATCCGCAAATATTGTCCTTAAAGGGGAAGGGGATAAAAAAAAATAAGAACTGTGGTTTGAATCAGAGCAGTTATTGGAAGCTGCCATTTGGGGCAGAGTTTCTCTTTGCGGAGTATTAATTTGTTGGCAGACACACATTTGTGAGAACATTCTTGTTTTTTTTACTATTCAGAGACGGACAGGAAGTGACACAAACCGGGATTAAAGGGAGCTTATTCTACCTAAACGTTGAGCAAGAAGAGTTCCTTAATTAGCTTTTAGATGGTAGAATCCCTTCTTTAAGAGTCAACCTAATTAGTATGTTGTTATTGATGTTTTAACGTGATGAAATACTTCAGTTAAAAAAATAACGTACTGGAGTTTTATTTTAGCCACAGAAAGGTGAGATCTTTCCATTCTTTGCTTACTTCCACCAGAAAAAAAAAGGGGGGGTCTTAAGTAATCTCAGAGTTCATCTTCTTTCTTTGGTAAGAACAATGAGGAGTTGGAAGTGTTCTACAGAAGGAAAAACCTAATAAGTGTGTGAACTTCCATTAACAATGTGGTATTGGAAGTGGTTTCAGTGTGGCCAAGAGAAAGAGAGATAAGAAAACCACTGTGCAGAAAGAAAAGTACAGACAACAAATATTTTGATGTTGCAGACAGAGAAAGGAAGAGGTTGAAGAGAAAGTTGCTGGGACAGGAATGCGTACAGCAAATGACACCCCCTATCTCCCCAATATAAATCCTAACAATGTAGACTTGTAAACCTTAGATCAGGCAGATAATGGAAACTCATTACATTAAGGAAAGTTTTTGTTTCTCTTTCCACATTATTACAACACAGTGTGCATTCCAATTACAAAAGCTATTTGTCTCAAATTCCCCACAGTTCATACCAACTGAGTAGAATTTCAAGGCCCCAAATTCTATCCTTAAAGGGGTATTTTACATTAAAAAACAAAGAAAGGAAAAGTACATGGTGTTTCTTGTTCACCAGAGGAGAGCCTCCCAATCAAATCTCCTGTTGATTATTTTCCCTTCTTCAGCACTAATTGTAGTGCTGTTCCCAAATGAGACCAAAAAAAAAAAAAAAAAAAAAAAAAAAAAAAAAAAAAAAAAAAATTAGAATCACCTAGAAAGTCTTTTATCAGTACACATTCCTTGGACTTGTCTCAATCTCACTGAATGAAGAATTTGGGGAAGCTGGACTTAGCAATCAGTATTATTTTCAAAATTCCCCTGGTGAGTCTAATGAACAGCTAGAGTTAAAACACCACTAAGTAATTTGAATATTCACCATAAATCAATTTCTTCTGAAATCAGTTATTAAAAAATAGGTCATGGACATTTTTTAGAATTCACTAAGATCAAACCCTCTAAATCTTTTGTTAGAATTAAGAGATTGAGTTTCTTTTCATATTCATTAATAAACTATCAATTTTAAACAGAAAACAGTTCCACTATAAATACTCTTGTTTATATGTGCAACAAGAAGCTTAACCATCTACACATCCTTTTGTCCCCTGTGGGTTTCCTGTTTAGTTTTTTATTAGTAACAGTATATTCCATAACTAAAAAAAAAAAAAATCAAACGAACAAAAGAAACATTTTAATGTTAAGGAAAACATAAGACAATAGCAATACAACTTAGATCATACATTAGGAAAAGAATACAACAGATGTATTATTATTCAGCATTAGCACAGGTCAGAAGACTGGTCATTTGTGTGTTCATAAAATTGGGACGTGTAACAGAATATATAGGAAGTTTAAGAAATCAATTTATTGGCTTTAAAATAAAACCACCAGATTAAATAATTTTCTCTAAATGTACACATGACAGGCCGCCATGTCCAAAATATTACTGCCTGACATCTACCAAAAGATGACAGGAAACTGTTGGTCATTGATTCAAACTGCAAGAAAATATTAATATGAGTCCCAAAGCACAGTACAGCTCATCACAAATCAGAATCCCATGAAAGACAGTTACTGTTGTTATGTAGTCTCTTTATGCCAATTAAATAAATCGTCTAGGTTTGTCGTAATAGTTAAATCCTAGGTTAAAAAAAAAACAGGAAGTTGTCACATTAAGGCATAAAATAGGGCTATGAAAATCAGCATTGTGCCAGAATGAAAGAAAAAGATGCCTTAATATGTTAAAAGTGAAGTTCCTCTTTGCCTAAAGAGGAAATAACGAGTCTAAATCAGAGGTCAACAACTTTGGTCTTGAGCAATGTTAGAAGAGTAAGTAACTGAATGCCAGAGGGACGTACAAACAAGAGGGAAAAAAAAAAAAAACCAAAACACAAGAAAAGGGCACAAAAAGGCACTGGAGAAGAAACTGTTAAGAAAAAGCAATAGAATTAATTATGGAGCCCCTCCTATATACCAGTCATCACGGTCCGAAACCCTTTGTATCTTACATCTCAGTGACCCTGTAAAGTTCTCATATTTTTCACATAGGGAAACCGAGGCTAGGAGGTTAAACAAATTGCCCAGAAAACACGGCTAATAAGCAGGAGAGTCAGGATTCGAACACTAATTAGAATAACTACTCCAAATCTCAAGTTCTCCTTTAAACTCATAGTGGAATAAGGGAGGGAAGGAAAGAAAAAAATATGTTCATGGTGATCTCCGAATGCTAAAAGCCCAGGGAAACCTACGCCATGAGTCGCCAACCAGTGGCTTCCCCGCATTGACACTGCTCTCCTGCTCCACATGAAGTCACTCGCCTGTCTTCCTCACTTCATTTTCCACCCAACATGAAAACATGAAATTCTGACATGGTATTAATAGATGTCATACTATCTACTTAGAACAAATATTTAAACTCTTCACTAGTTCTATTTCAGGTGTCCTAGTTAAGTCTCACGCCTTGACACCACGTGGAAGCTGCCTGAGGTCACGTGTGCTATCCCCCAGGTTCTAGCACAGGGCTCCACGCCAAGAAGGCCCTGTGATCTGGCAGGTAACACCCATCCCTTACACACCCAGACTACGTGCCCATAAGGTGTTCCGAGGACCCTTTGAGGCTAAAGAAATTTTATATGTAAAATTATATATATGGCAGGATTTCCAGAAAAGTCTATGACCAAAAAAAAAAAAAAAAAAAAAAAAAAGTAGGTTACTGTATCCGCCCACACGTTAGATTTGGAAGTACAAATTCTATTTACCAAGGTCAGCCTTTTCCTTGAGAACGTCTTTGAAGTTGAGCCCACTGTTGAGGGTTGACTGCCTGTACTTGAGCAGGGCTTCTTTCTGTCCATTCCTTCCCAAGGCCTCGGTTTTCACCGACCCAGCCTGGAGGCCACACCTCCACTTGGAGAAATCGGAATGTACCCACTTGACCAGGTCTTCAAGCTTCACGATTACCTTTTCGGAAACAGCAATGACTTCATCCTACAAGAGGTGGTCAGGGGAGAACAAAACTATTATTGGTGGTTGAGAGGCAAATGACAAATTTTCAACAAAGCCCATCTGAAATACCATTTGAGTGGTTTAGCCCTACACGAGCAAACAATGTGTTTTTTGGTGACAGAGTATCTTTAATAGCTCGCTTCATTTCAATGGGTTTTCACTGCTAGCTGTCTAGTTGAAAAATAATTTATAAGATATATTTGTTATACGATTAGAGCAGTAATTCTGATAGCTATTTTTAATGCTAACTGCCAAAGCCCATGCTGCCTATCTGACCACTCAGGTGAAAGCTAATTTTTAGGTGCAGTTAATTGCAAAAGTAAAAAGCGAGAACTAGGTGACTAATGGTTAGCCTGTCTCTATATAAATGGTCTAAGTAAATCTGGGATTCTTGGAACTCTGACTCACCCCCAAATTCCTATGTTTATGGTACATTTTCCCTTGGCTTATACACAAATATTGAATTTAACTTTTGTCCTAAAAATTAAATAAAACTGTGATGTAATCCCAAAAGAAATACTTCATAAATGTTATGTGCTTCCCACTGAAAGAAACTTACACATTCTCATGTTTCTTAAAAACTTTGTAAGTTGAGAAATGAACTGATTTTTTTTCTTTTAATACATATGGGGTAAGAAGAGAGAGGGTGAGTGAGGAGAAAGCCTTTGAATCTAAGAAAAGTAGTTGAAACTTAAGTTTCTCCTATGGATCATAAATTTGAATTTTAAGCATCCCTAATTGCTTCCAGGAAACAACCAACTTTTCTGACTCAGAATTAGTCTAGCAAGATATTTAATAGAGATCCATCCATGGAGCAAAGGAAGGCCTCTCCTACCCAAAGATTCCTTGGAAAAAGCTTAAGATCATCTCACTGGGTTTTAAGTTAAATTATTTGAAGCATTTGACATTTCAACTTGAACTGACTTCTTTCATTTCTTTTACTTCACATTTCTGAAGAAAAGCTTAGCTGTGAAAACCCCTAAGCTTACAAAATCTTAGAAATATTTTTGACAAACAACAACAGGAAGATGTCTCTAAGCTATTAAACAAAAGGAATTCACAAGTGATTTTGGCTAATTTTGCTGTTAAACATGACTCTTTCCTCCTTCCCGCCCCCCACCTCCACACACACACACACACACACACACACACACACACACACACAGTACTGCACACGTTACTCCAAAGCAAACAAAAAAGGGTTTATTAAGATAAGCTTCACACAATGAGAAACCCTGGATTTCATTTTTAAAAATGTTTTAAGGTAGGATCTAAAATTTCACTTTTCCTCATCCAGTTCCAAGCTGCTTCTGAGAACAAAGTTTGTTAGGCAGCAGCAAAATAAATACTCTATCAAAAATGAAAAGTAAAACTTTCGTAATGGAGTCCTTTCTCTTATCATGATTAAATATGAACTTCCCCTGAATGGGACCCAAAGTGGAAACTGTTTTTATCCTTTGCTCCTGAAAAAAAAAAATTCAATACTTTATAAACAATGGGGCATATTACAAAGTACCATTTCAATGGATGATTTCACTCAGATTCACTACACCATCCTCTTGAAATAAAAGATCTGTAGTTGTCACGCATTTTATAGCTATTACATGGTGATTATTAAATGTCAGAATGAAAATTCAGGCTGGATATTGTTTCAAAGCATATGGGAACAGCTTCTGGACAGGGTACACCAGAAATCAAATTTAGAATATACTGAAAATAATTAAGTATCATGGTATAGAAGACTCAACATTGGCAAAGATGGAATTTGGCAACAATGATACCAAATATGGTTCCTTAGAAGAGACAAGTTTGGAGATGAGTGTTATTTTCAAATAGCGCTATGATCAAATGATTATCATGTCAATTACCAGTTGCTTCAGATCTTTTCCAAGAAATGGCATGACTAGCACTGGCTGGCTTACAACGCCCGCCAAACAAACAGTTTATTAACCAAGAGAAAATACAATCCTTATGATGTCATTGATGAATAAACCCATCTTTCAAGATTCAGTCTATAGATTTTATTCTCCCTCCTTTTCTCTCTCTCAGAAACAGACTTTATGAATATACACACACATATAAAAACAAATGCAGGAATTCACATAAACACACATAAGCCATAAACCCAAGTTTGGATTAATTGTGAAACCACCAGTATGTTTTACTGTGGATTCACAGAGAAACTGGCCCTGCAACATTGTCAAATGCCAGGATTTAGAAGGAAATCTGATAAGCGGAGGAGGGGGAAGCAGCAGACCAGCCCAAAAAACAAAACAGCTAACATATATATAGAAAATGTCTCAGGAAACATTGCTTTGTACACACAATGGCATAAATCACATGTTCGTATTTACTATTCTGAGCAAGCTTTGACTAAAGTTCTTAATACACGCCGTTCTCGGGCAAGCCTCTATGTCTAAGAAAAGAATTTCAATAAGCTCATCTCATGATTACATTAGCTCTCTGCAAACCGAGAATTAGCACTGGATAAATATTGCTGATTTACTCTAATACAACACAAAACGAACACAAAGAAATACACTTTGTTATTCTATTAATGTACCTTGGCTTTTCAATTAACCCAGTTCCCGATCAATATTTATGTAGGCTGTGTTGAGACACTATCGGAGCCCATATCCCCTTTCATCATTGTTTTAAACGGCTTGTTTCTGTAATTTGGATTTTGTGTCTACCACTGTATAAAAAACAGCTTTTTGAATCACGGAATCCTCTATGTCAGAGGAAAGGATCTAGTCATGAATTAGCCTGCCTGTGTATTGCCGGCCTCTGCACATGTTCTAAAAATCGGAAAACTTTGCACAAGGTATCCAGACGTCCATCTTTTCATAAAATGAAATGAAATAGTAAAATAAAATGATATCTCTGCCAAAACAAACAAACAAAAACGTCCCCCCAAACAGTTGGAAGTGGTTGCTTTCTTTAGATAAGATGCAAGATCTCGAGTTGACCACTGACCCCATCACTCCCTGTTGCCTTACCTGCCTGGCCCCCCGGACAGCCAATCAACATTTAAACTTGCACACCCTGATTTATTCCACCTCCTTCATTTTATGACATATCCTCATACCAACTTCCAATAGAACTTAGACAAAAACCCAGGTTTCCTATCTGCCCACAGAGTATTCATCCTGGACTCAGGAGCCTTCTGCCTGGGTTTAAATCCCAGGTCTGCAATTTATTCACCATGGAACACTGAGAAACTTCTTTAACCTCCCCGTGCTTCAAGATTTTGTATGTATGTAGAAAAAAAGGATAATAATACTATTTACCTCTTATGGTAATTTTGAGGATTAAATGGGCTAACATAAATGAGTGGTACGTCAGTATTAACTCCCATTTTCATTGTCCTGAGTCCTTGCAGAGATGAGTTTAGATGGCTCACGGGTAAACTTTACATACATACATATATATATATATATATATAT